TAATCCACCTTTGCTTTATCTTGTTATCTTGTTCCTGAGCAGTTCCCATCCACCCAGGAGGGATGATGGTCTCTGTGGAACTGCTCATGGATGGGACAGCTGCAGTTGAGGGTTTGGACAGAAGATGGTGCAGTGTTCAAAGCTTCGTCCTAGTGCAGTGGCAGACTCCACACTCGTACCTCGGTTTTATCTTTACCTCCAACAAGCAAACCTCGCACGAGTTAGCAACTTTTTAATAGCAATTTTACAGTAACAAACACACCTTTTGCTAGAATTTTTGCTACAGTGAATTATGGAGGCATAAATATAAAATATATACATATAATTAATAAATAATAATAAAATTGATAATTTTCCTACCTCTGTGAATTCCTATACTGTCGGTTTTATCTTTACCTCCAACAAGCAAACCTCGCACGAGTTAGCAACTTTTTAATAGCAATTTTACAGTAACAAACACACCTTTTGCTAGAATTTTTGCTACAGTGAATTATGGAGGCATAAATATAAAATATATACATATAATTAATAAATAATAATAAAATTGATAATTTTCCTACCTCTGTGAATTCCTATACTGGTTTCATCACTCTTATTTTAATGCAGGGATTAAAAGCATTGCCCTCACAGCAGATGTCAGCAAACCTGAGGATGTACAAAGGATGGTGGACACCATTGTTGCTCGCTGGGGCACGGTCCACATTGCGTGCAACAATGCAGGAATCAATATGAACTCTGCGAGCGAAGATACTTCCTTAGAAGAATGGGACAAAACTTTTAATGTTAATTTACGAGGATTATTTTTGTGCTGCCAAGTGAGTGGGAAACGCTGTACTCATTTGTTTTGCAGATGGGTAATAATTTACTAAGCATTTACTTTATCAAGATTTAATAACAATTTTTTACTAATTATCACAATAAAATTGGTCCTGGTTTTGGTGGAGTTAAGGAGAGATTTGCTTTATATAAATTACAGATTTTTGGTAAATATTTTGAAAAGCAGCTGGTACTTACTGCCCAAGGCCAGGCATTTAAGAATGGCCAGATTTTTTGGAAGGTGATTATTTGAGACATCCTGAAAACCAGGAATCTTTGGGAGACCATTCCCAACATTAGTGATTATTTTGAAAACAATATTGTCAATAGTGAAGAGGGTCTGAAATGGCAATGGGATTTTTCCTGCATCAACCATTTTTATACCAAGCTTTTATGTGAAGCGTTTAAAAAAAAAATGTGTTAGCACATAAACTCTTCTGAAAAGTGAAGACTAATTTATTATCATGTCATTATTAGCACAATCACAAAAAGGGTCACTGGTCTTTCCTTTAATTTCTGTCACAGGCTGCAGGCCGCATTATGCTGAATCAAGGATATGGGAAGATAATTAACACAGCATCTATGGCAAGTTTAATAGGTGAGTGATGAGAGCTAACAGTTGTGCTTCAGAATCCATATTTTAATTACTACCGATGCTATTTGAATCAATTAAACCTGTATTGGGAAGGAGTAAATCACTGACATTTTGTATTAGAGGAAATGTACTACAAAATTTTTATTGATATAATTTTTCACCATTTATCTGTCCTCTCTGTTTTAGAGCACTTATTACTTTTTATAGAAGAGGTGGAGTCACCTTCTCTGACTCCAATGCACTGGTGGCATGGGAGAGGTGTGGGCAATGTCAGGCAAACAGGCTGGAGTGCAGGAAGCTGTCTCCCATGATGTTTACAAGCCACCCAAAAGCTTTTGTGCCCATTTTCACCCCAGTATCCACTGATTTTATTTCATTATCGTTGCCAACAGGTGTCTCCACCAACGCTGCTGAATCAGCAGTATTGTCAAAAGCACCAATAAACCATTGTAACATATGGAATGAAATCCCTACTGCTGAGCTAATCTGAAAGGCAGTTACATGCTGGTGAACTGAGGCCCATGTAACAAAAATTGATCAATTACACAAATTAAGCATAGCCCTTTAGGAATTTATTTTATTGGTCTGGACATCTGTTGCAGTATTGTCCAAATCCAAAAATCAAATGGTGCCTTGGGTTGCCAAGTTAGGCAAGAAAATCTAGTAGCTATAAAAGTACAACTGAAAACCCCTGTATTAATATCATGTCCATCTGCTGAATGTTACATAAATATGCAGTCTTTTTATTTTCCTTGGGAATAACATTTATTTTTACTGTGCCCAGTTTGACATTCTGTGACATTCTGCTCAGTTTATTGCACAGTAACTTTAAATGTTTCTTCAAAAATGCATTTATAATGTTGTTGTTAATCTTTTTTTCAAGTGTCTTTACCAGCTGTTTTACTTATGCTTAAACACAAGCACCATCCCTCTACCCCAGCTTTGTTGAGGTACAAAATCCCCCAAAGAAAAATAGTTTTGAGAAATATGTAGAGCTTTACATTTCAAATACCCCAGATTTTCATGCTCTGTGGGGCTCTGGTCTGGGCTTGGGCTGTCAATGTCCAGATCATTGGTGCAAAGCAAAATTTACTGGGAGGTATTCCACCCTATGGAAAGTTATGAAGCTCTGGAAATTGGCACCAGCTGGGGGTCTGCTGGTTTGGCACACTGCTCCTGGACTTGCTCTTGCAGCCCAGAGAGAGAAGCATTTCCCACTGGGCCTGGCATAGCTTTATTGAACCAGGAGGTGATGCCATCCCACCACATCATCCATCCCACCACGACATCCGTCCCAGTCCCAGCTCGGGGCTGCACCTCCTTGGCTTGAACGCCAAGTCCACTGGGACCCACGTGGGGATCACCTTTGAGGGCAGCATCAGTCCTGGAGCACGAATAAACATTGGAAACAACTGTGAGAGCAGCCTGGAAAGGTCATTGCAAGATGCATTTAAATGTCATTGAAAGCTAATGCATGCTAGGCCAGAAGTTAAGAGATGAAGAGATGCATTTACCTTCTGAACCTGTTTGAATCTTGGCATTGAAAAAATCTAGTAGTTATAAAACTACGACTGCAAACCACGATGTTCATATCATGTCCATCTGCTGAATGTTAAATAAATATGTTGGTTGGTTGGTTATTTAAGTATGTTGGCCAACTGGCATAGTATGAAATGTTTCTAGAAATAGTTAGGGGATTTTTTTTTTTTTTTCTTTTTTGGTAGGTTGAGTCCTTCTTCAGAGATACAGGAAAATGAGGAGACTCTTAGCAGGATAGGGAGGTATTTGTTTGTGATTTTTCCAGATACACTGCTCAGAATCAGTTTTAATTAATTGAAGATAAGCTGCATACATTTTGCATATGTGCATTTTGATTCTGGTATTTCACTGGATTTATTCCAGACGTATGCTTCAGCAGCGGAGACGAGGCTGCTGCGGCTCTGCGATCTGCGCAGGTGTAACTCAAATCTGTAATTTTTACAGTGAATATCTTTAGTGGGAAGTGGTCTGGTCTTCTCTAGCTGCGTGTACCTCTCATTAGCATTACATGACTGCTTCAAGGTCAGGCTAGAAGCTTTATGCACCAAACAAGGTTGCAAAAACATAGTGTCAGGTGTTAACATGTAACGTAGCTGATGTTGGCAGCATTTTTATCTGCTTCCCTCCCATCTTCTCCGTCTGAAGCAGGAGTGAGTGTCCTCACTTCCCAGAAGCCTTACAAATTCATTTTTCTGGTGACACTGCTGGATGTACAGCTTTATTCACAAGTTCTAGCCCCATTTTGTATGAGTTTTGGAGGGTTGCAGATGTGCTCTTCTGCTCAGGTGCAGAAAGCCCACCCAGCTCCAGAACTCCACAACGTTCATTGGCTCCTTGAGTTCTTCCCATTGAGAGGGGCCAAGTGTCTCAGGAGGGGGAAATTTCACCTTCTGAATTACCTTCCTTAGATATTCTTATGAAGTCAAAAGCATTTACACAGAAGAACTCCTGAAAACCCTGTCTGAGCACCCACCCCAAATCTGAAAGCTGATTCTGATAGTTTGCAGCAACGTGCTGTTCTCACCCACATGTGCCAGAGGTGGAGAGCTGGTGCCAAAACTCTTCTCTTAGCAAACGCCGAATGATTTATCACAAACAGACACGTTTGGAAAGTTTAGCAAAGAACTGCTTTTGGGAGGTTGCGAGGTTAACTACCGAAGTTGTGTGTAACTTGGAGCTGATGCATGGCAATTAATCAAGAAATTACATTCCATGTCTTTTTGAGAGCCCGCACGGCACGCTGTGTCTAGGGGGTGACAGGCACACGCAGAGGGCAAAGCAGTTGTGCTGGTCAAAATGTGAGTTATTTCATATTGAACAGAAAGTGAGCATAGAATAAATGTTGACAGAGTGGGGCCATGGTATGAAACGCCCTTTGTAGTGAGCAAAGGCTTCCAAATTCTGAGCAAACCTTCAGCATGTGCCGAAAAACAGAAACACTATTTGTTGTTCCCATCATGAGCGTGCTTTAGATGTCTTTCACAAACATCTATGTTCAAGGCAAAGTCCTTATTCACATGCTCAGTAATTTGCAGGGGGGCTTTTTGCTCTTTCAGAGTTTGGATAACTCAATTTGTTACCATCTTCTTTTTACTCTTTGAATTGACATACTCAAACCCAATAGTTTTAGTCAATCAAAGTAGTTGTGGATATGTTGGGATACCATGGATGGTGGTGATATAGAAGTGATGCACCAACTTAACTTCATAAATTAAAACCAACTCAGTGATGCTCAGTACCGATATGGTGCTAATTACGGATCAGTGCCTCACCCTGGATTTGTTTAATGAAGTCATGACAGCAGCCAGAAAAGTTCGAGGAGAGACACTTTGTGAGTGTCAATCCCAGCTGCTGGACTGATGTGGTTGGACTCAAGGTTCAGGCTTGATGGGACTCTGAGCAACCTGCTCTAGTAAAGATGTCCCTGCTCACTGCAGAGGGGTTGGACTAGATGACCTTTGAAGGTCCCTTCCAACTCAATACCTTCTTTGATTCTGTGACTCCTATGGGTTTAAAGCACTTTCCACCCACTGGAGATTTGTCCTTAAATAGCTTTCCTGGGAATATGGCAAGTGTGAGAGCTGGTGGAGGGGCAGAGCCACCCGAGCACTCAGCACTAACAAGCCTGAACACCGTAATTAGCAAGCCGATCATTTTCCCTCTCTGACTGACATGTGACATCTCTGAAACATTTTCAAAAGCTTCAGATTTTGAAAGTGGTGGGTGTTCTGAATTTTTTGGGATGCACCTGTGTTCACATCCACACAAACACTGATTAGATAATATGATGTATTTGCTTCAGACATTAAAAATTAAGGAGAATAATTTGTTCCAAGGAGTTATGTATAATACAATATGTTATATAACATCTATTATATAGATATTCTATTCTATTCTTTATATTATAATATATTGTATCTGTTATGTTAAATCATATCATGTTATATCATTATGCTATATTATTTTTATTAGCATTACAGTGTACAAGTATTTTGTATATCAACATACGTATGTGTATAATACATGAAAGTACATGTTTATATATGATTATTTATCTTTCCTGAGAATAGTCAAATATTTCATATGTATGTTTAATACATGGGGTTTTACTTTGCACAAATATGGAACCTTTTAAATGTCTTTATTTCTTTTTCTTTTTTCTCCTCTCCATCTTTTTCCAGTAGCCCAGCTGCTGAAGCAAATATGTTACATAGCAAAATACAGTTGAGAGTTTGTTGAGTGGCTAAATTCCTCTTGCTCCCTGCCTAGTATCAAGGAAAATGACAACTAGTTCATCTCAATGCAGGGAATTGTCCGTGTAATGCCTAAGAAATCTTCATTTGTGGAGAATAACTAATTTTCTATCTCTGAATCTCTCCTAGTCCCACACCCGCAGAAGCAGTTGGCGTACAATGCCTCGAAAGCTGGGGTCGTAAAATTAACACAGACATTAGGAACCGAGTGGATTGACAGAGGAGTAAATGTCAACTGCATTTCCCCGTAAGTAAAATGTAGTCTCATTTTGAAGGTACAAAGAGAATGAAATGTTCTAAAAAGCTCAAATGAACAGTATCTCGGCAAATAAAGTTTCTAATTAGCAGGTGGATTGCATCCCTTTTTATGTTGTCTTTTCCTTAACAAAGGTTTAAATACTTAGAACCAAGCCTGCTCTGTTGCTGTGTATACTCAAGGATTTAAGAAGAGGTTTTAGCATTTGATAATAGGTTTTCCAATAACGTGAAGGGTAGTTTTTAGCATTTCTCTTCCAGATGAAATATTTCCTTAGTCTGTCCAAGCCTTCTGCGGTTAAAGAAAAGGCTTTTGACACTTAATAGACAATACTTCTTTCCCCTTTTTACTTGAGACAAATATATAGGCACTTTAAAAGCCACATTGTACTGCTGTAATTGAGATACTGTTCAGCCCTGACAATCACAGGAGGCCAGGTGTAATTTTGTAAATATATATATATATATTTATTACAAATTACATTCTCCTTATTTTTAGAGGCTTAAAGATGTATGTTTTATTTTACGGTATTTATTCACAAAGAAAAGTTTTCTTACCACGTACACTTTTTCTCTCCCTGTTTCTCACACACATGCTCAACACAGCAATTTTATTAAACAATTAACAGTGCATGATAGTCCTAAGTAGAAACCCAAGTGGATAGTGTTAATTGGAAGCGGTCAAATTCTGTAGACTATTGAAGTCAATCAGAGTTAAGTAAGGGCAGGATTTTAACCCAGGAGTTGAATTGTAATAATGAAGATATAACGTACATCAAATTAGGAAAAACAAATTACATATTTTAATCCACAAAGTGGAGTAAAAAAAAAATAAAAATTCACAGCGCTCAATGGCAAGCGCTTCTGTTTTCAGTCGGTCTGCTCTCCACTTCCTTGTGCTAGCTGTCTTCCTTATGATTATTTATTACTAATTATAGAACTGATTCCAGCCATCACTCTATGTGATCCACAGATTCTTTAGAGTATCTTACTTTATAATGGGATTTTCCCTATGCCAATGCAAGCAGCCCTGCAATAGTGTTCTCACAACTGGTGCTAGTGAATTTACACTGATTTTCAGGAGCCAGAGGAGATGAAGGGAATTAAGAAAGCTCAGCAGGACCTGGCAGGAACTTTGTCTGAAAACACACGAGTAATCTTTCCCAATGGAGGTGGGACAGCAGCGCCACAGTCACAGCAAACACAGATGAGGAGGCTCTTCGATGAGGAATTACCCATTTCTAGGGGATTTACATACATTTAAAAAATATCCACCAAATCATCAAAACTCATTGTTTTGTATAAGTTGGAAATATATACTCGTATTTGAAGAAGTTGTGTCTGGAGGCAATTGTCAAAAAATAGTCACACTTCTCTTTTTCTCCTTTTCAAGACAAAACAGGGTTGTTTGATCATCCCTACTTGTTTTAAACTCTAGATCCAAGCCCAAAATCCTACAACAAGAATGAAGGTTCTTCTTTGTGGAGGAATATCCAGAAAGGGTTCACAGAAGACAAATGTTTTTACTGTCTTTAAGGTCCCCCATTCTGGACAAAGTTGTCCACCCTAATGCAGCAGGGACCTGGGCTGAATGGCCCTGGCAATCAGGCAGAACTTTCCTCCCAGCAGTTCCCAGCTGAGCCCCTCATGCCAGGGCTGCCCAGGAGCTCTGGGTAGTGGTTCAGAGGAAGGAGCCTACAACTACGTGCCAGGTTGGACATCCAGGATCAGAAAGACCTGTACATATGGGACATTTTACAGTGGTTCATGTAGCTCAGCTGCCTCCTCACCAGAAGCAAAAGCACATGTGCTTGAGAGTGGATTAACATTCACGTTTGCCCTTCTGCCTATATGAGATGTGAATCTACATTCCAGTGCAAATTTGGACTCATCCTTAGAACTGTGGACCCCACTGGTCTTGTTGTTTTGTCTCTTGATGTGACTCACCGAGGCACAGGAGCATCTTCAGCCCACTTGAGCTTAGTAGCCAACACCTGGCACTACCCTCAATGCGACAGCACATCTCTCAATGCCACAAGAGTACTTTGCAGGGTTGAAAATTGTCCCATATGCACAGGTCTTTCTGAGTATAGCTGTCCAGCCTAGCATGTAGCCATCTTAGGAGGGGTTTCTGAGGAGAGTGAGGAGCACAGAGGTAGATACAAGACATGATGGTACCCAAGATAATCTCTGGATAAGTAAAATATTTAAGTGTGTCCTTAAGTCCTTTGTTCCTCCCACTCATGGTTGAGTTAATGTTTTAAGGCACTCTCAGCATATCTTTGTCTGAAGCTCCAAGCACTCCAGTCTGGCTTCAAACGTTATTTCACCATACAAACCTTTTGGCCTTTTTTCCTTCTTCCTATCTGGTCATTTTTATCAACTTAATTTCTTAATGAGTGCATAAAACTTATGCAGAGCAATGCATAAAAGTTATCAATGCATAAAATGTTATGGCAGAGCCCTTAGGATAATTTATTGCATTTATAAAATTGAAGATGTAGGCTTCTCTTGATGGCCAGGCAAACCTCATGCCCATGGTGAGAAGGTGGCCAAGACTCCCTGGATGCTTTGGCTGACTTTGCCCGTTGCTCCAGGCAGCAGTGAATGTCTCCATGAATCATGGTAACTGTGCTCAGCCCTTCTGCCACCTCCTAGGGCAGTTGCTTTGTAGGCTGCTGCACAGTTGATGTTGTGCAAAATAAAAGGGTGCTGGAGCCTTCCTGAAAAGTATGTGGTGGTCAGGCTGCAGAGGGGACCTGGGTGTGAACAGGGACCTTTACACAACATTGACTAGTGTCTAGTGTCTGGCTGCCCATGGACCTTTTCTGGTCCCTGCCCATATGGAATGTGTCGGGTGTGCTGGAGCAGGGGACTTTCAAGGATCTCTGGTTTGTGGCACGTGCAGCATTGGAATGCTTAATTTTTGGAGCCATTGCACTGAATCCATGTCCATTTTGGGGGGTAATTGCATTTCTCTGCTTGATTTCCAAAGCATAAAATGCTATAACGTGATGACTTTTGGGATAGGCAGTTGGAAGCTGATCTTCATCTCAACCTACAGCCACAGTCAAACCAGCTTCTTGGGGACCTCGTGAAACTTAGCATCCCAGGGGATGAACCATGTTGCCTACTGCTGGTCTGCAGGTATTTGGGTTTTGGCTGAGATGGGCAAAGAGGCTTCATCCCCTTGATCCCCAGGAACGGTACAAAGGCAACCTGGTATGGTGTTGTACCAGGCTACTAGCCTGGTGGGTAAGAGGAGTCAGAAAGCAGGTAGGGTGGGATAACCACAGATTTGGTTGTACCCAGTCGTGGGGGATGAAGAGGCAGAGCTGGCAGGAGAAGGAGCACCCCAGCATCACCTGAAGGCGCCCCAATTAAGCAGCATTACTGTCCCTATTAAGCAGCATTTGTTGCTGGTAAGTATCTTTGGACTTAAATCTAATTCCTTGGGAGATGTCCCAATTAAGTGGATCTCTTGATTAAACACTTCCTGATTAAGTGGAGTGTACTTAACTCATTCAAATTAATAACTCATCTGAAAGAAATCAAGTTACACACAGATGGAATCTTTTTTTTTTGCTCTCATTTGGGGATTGAGCGCACATAACAATTCCAGTTAAGTATCTGGTAAGTGATATTTTTCCTAATGTGTCTCTTGAAGTGGAAATGTTTTAGGCAATAGTTTTTTGGGGTTTTTTAATTTTTTTTTTCCTAATGTCTCAAATTGTCCTGTGTATCAATAATGAAATATTGATGCTCATGTCTAACATTAAGGAACCAGCAGTTTGATATTACATTGACATGCAACAGAAAGTACTGATAGGCTCAGCACTGCATATGAGATGAGGTAGGGAATTAATGCATTGGCAGTTGTCTTTGCTGGAACTGGTTAGAAGCCAACTAAAATCTGCCTAAAAGGGTTCGACAACATTAAATTGCCCAACTTGGCACCAAAGCTTTCCCAGAAGATGTGTAGTATCAATGACATGCCTAATATTTATAGTGCCATCAGTATGTGTGTTTGCAACTTTTAAGTTTTGCGCTGTATTTTTTTCTCATTTCTATAGAAAAAATTTGTAATAAAGTTTTGTTACACATCTACATTTTTGCTACTTGAAGTGAACCTAAAGAAAGGTCCAGCAAGAGCCACGGCGCTGTGATTTACAGGTTGCAGTGATAGTCCAAAGATCATTTTTCCAAACAGATTGAAAAATATCCTCTTTTTAGCAAAATCTGTTGTGCTGGAGGACTTGTATTCCTTAATCTGTGTCGTATTCCCTAATGTGCACTCCCACTGGGTTAAAACATATATGTAAATTAAAAAAAAAATTATAAAATCATAAGGATCTTATTCTGATCTCTGACAGTGCAAAGCCAAAATGATTGTGTTGATGGTTTTGTAAGCATGGTGAAAGGCACGTAAGGGAAAGGTGTCCAACATATATCACATCTGCTGCTCAAAGCACGTTTCTCTCTGAAGAAAACCAGCTCTCGAGAAGTTTGGGAGAGCAAGGGGGGAGAGAGGGGTCTGTGCTTGGGGGAAATAGGTAAACTGTCTGCAGTCCTATACTGGAATGTGTTTGGTTTTATTATGCTGCTGGAGTTTAAACGAGCTGCATCGCTCAGTGTTTCTGAACTGCTTTGGTGTTTATTGACAATAACAATAAAAAAATAAAGCCAATATTTAAATCCTGATTAGTGAAAACAGAATGTTTGGGGGAAAGTCTGAATTAGTTCCACTTTGTAACAGAGTAAATAGTAAATTTCAGCCTTCATTTAAAACAAAAGGTAAATCTCATACCCAGAATCCAGTGTGTCTCAAAAAAATCATTTCCTTGGAAGTATAAATTGGGATGCCGATGAAGTTTCAGAACAAAACGAATATTTTTATACTTTGTTCATTTCATATTTATCACTAGCTTGTTTGCTAATTTTCATTTGCAAGAGGCAATTCTTCCAGCTAACTGGCTGCCTCAATGGGCCACTGATTTCTTTGAAGTGACAGTCTGTAAATATGCATAAAAAAGAGATGCAATTAGCGTGTGTGTGGTTCAGTGCAGCCTGATTTCATTGGCAAGTTTACCCACAGTGTTGATAAGCTACATTATCTAGAAAATTGGCCGCTGAAAAACAGCACCTCTGATTGCCAGCAAAGGTTCCAGATAACAGGGTGCTGAAGAGAAATATAATTGAGGTTGAATATGTTAACCAAGGTGTCACATGCTCCTTAGAAGCGCTAATTTATCAGCATGTTGGAATTTTTATTAACATTTGGAATGCATTTCTACCACACTAATGAAGTGGAATTGGCAGTTCAGGTTTTAGTTATTGTCATTTCTGAGAAGTTAAATGTAATTTCTCGTTAGACACAGTTATGTAAATATATTTGTTCAGGGGCTGAAAAAATTATACATTTCGCAAAATACAAATATGTTGTTAAGGAGGAGTATGACAAATCAGTCTCAGTTAAAGTCATAAAAGCCAGACAAAATGTTCGCCCTGCATTGTGCTTCCCGGAGCATCACTCATTTTTAGGGCACCTGAAGAAAATGAACTTAGCAGAGTTTTAAGAAATGGTGTAGTCACTCATTAATGGCAAAGAGGAGAGACAGGTGAATGTGGGGTGATTTGTCGGGGTGTTGATTTAAGGGGAGTTGCACTGGGCAGGCTGTGCTCATCTTTGCCTCTCCTTTTTTGTGTGGAGTCTGATGCCCAGAAGGGCACAGGTTTTTGTTTCTCCTGTTTTTTGACATATGGGAAGTCGGGCTGTTTTCAGTTTCTGGGCTGTACACAAATTACTCTGTAAAGTGGTAAGACAAGAAATTGGTAGAAGGACGATAATTCCGAAAAGCCGCTACAGACCTGGTTCAAGGTGCTTTCGTTTCCAATGCCATGGCTGTTTTCTAGAAAAAAAATTAAACTGGTTATTGAAATGACTAATCTAAATTAAGGGGGTATTGCTATTAGCTAAGAATATAGTATGTCTGGACTCGCTTTAAAGAAAACCTCTAAGCCTGCCCGGCGGCAGCGAAAGGCAATAGGAAAGAAGCACTACTGAAGTTTGTATGGTGACTTTCAGCAGAGACAGAGCAGGTCTGACTTGTGCATCTCCTTCATGATATTCCATGTTTTTTTCTTTCAAAATTTTCATCTCAAACACCTATAATTGCTGCCTTTCCTTCTGGAGAAAACCGAGTGCTAAACTCTTGGTGCATCTGCTCGTTGCAGGGGCATCGTTGACACGCCGCTCATCCGCTCCAAGGACCTGAGGCCACTGGTGCGGCGCTGGCTGGGGGACATCCCGGCTGGGAGGCTGGCTCAGGCGACTGATCTGCAGGCTGCTGTCGTCTATTTGGCCTCTGAAGCCTCGGATTACATGACGGGCCATAATCTGGTCATCGAGGGTGGCCAGAGCCTGTGGTGAGGGGTGTCCTCCAGCATCCCCTCTCAGGAGCATAGTTCACTTTGGAAAGCATGGGTTAGAGTTTAGCTTAGCCCCAGCTTTAGCCTGTGTGGCTAAGTGGCCAGCTGATACGAAATGATTGTTTTCTTCTTTCAGGTGTTGCTTTGGAGACTTGTACAATTAAAAAGAAAAAAGAATTCCTTAATTTTCAACATTTTATGCTATGTTTTTCGCTATGCATTCAGATTTCTGTTAAATTAGTATTTCATGATATAAAAGCACATTTGCTGCAGTGAAATTTGGCTATTATTTAGTTTAACAGGGGGCATTTTTAAAGCAATCAATATTAGCTGGTCGGCGTAGTATATTGTTCTTAGACAATTTTTTGTATTCAAGTTGTTCCAGTGACATCTGTGAACGGTGAAAAACAGTTGGTTGTAGCGTTAAAAAAATTAAATTAGTTCATTGCATTTGAACCTGAATGTTGCCATTTTCTATTTACTGGTGTTCTTAGTTTTTGACAGTGTTTTTATACAAACACCCACATAAATGCCCCTGAAAGGGAAGTACTGCACTTAGTAGAGCATCATGGTTGGTAATTATAATGGCTCTAATCCAAAGCCCATTGAGGTAAGTGGGGACTGCTCATATACTTTAAGTTGAACGCTTGTTTAAATGTTGATGTAACTGGGTCTTTGTTTTTCTTGATAGGCAGATGTAAGCAAAGGTTGTTTTCTAATTTATTATTTTTTTATTTTTTTGCCTCTTGTAAAATTCTGAAGACAACTCTCCAGTGTAAATCAGGGCCAGCTCAAATGATATTAATACAGTTCTGCTGGCTGACGAGCTCATTTCAGCAATAGTGCTGGGTTCATTGCTTATAGGCAGGAAAATGTGGCACAATAACATCACCTTTTTGATAACTGTGCATTTATAGAGACTCCCATCCTGAGGACCTTTAAGCATAACCTAAGGAGAATTTACGGGAAGGAATTCACTTGCAAATCCTCATGTCATTTGTTTTGCATTTGGCAGCTCTTTGTTACCATAACATAAATAATTGTGGATGAATGTCATTACTTTGATGAAGTGCTACAAGTCCATACATTGGCTGGCCATTATTGTGGTGAATTGCTATAATGGCTTCAGACTTGACATTCACCACCGCATTGTAAGGTGTGCATCTCGCTGACGTACTATCATCGTTATCGTGGATAAAGTGCAAGAAGATACTTGTCTTCATTAAATTTTCTATTAGACCATTGATAATTAATACATATCTCATGTTTCATCTCGAGTCGTTTTTCTGGGGAGTGTTGCTGTTAAGCGACTCAGGGCTAGAGCTTTTTGGCTGGAAATCCCTGCCTTGTGTGCATGATCTAATTTATTGACAATGCTCTGCAAACTCACAGGCTTAAGGAGAGCTCAATTTTGGATAAACCTTCAAGAAAAACAATTAAGGATTTAAACGTTGTATTATTATTCTAGGCTCACAAAACCTTTTCTCCCTTAGCTCCCACACTTGCATCATTTTGTGTCATGCTCTGGAGGGCTCGGTGGAGCTCTCACATCCTTCTGGCTGGCTTTTCACCCAGAGGTTAATGTGCAAACATTGGTGAACTCATCAGGAGCTCTTCCAAGGGATCCCAGAGGGGCTTGTATACTATCGCTTGGACTGCTGGTGAATGGTTTGTTGCAGCTTCTACCTAAAGTGTAAAATAACAAACTTGAGCTAATTTGAAACATGAACTGCAGTTGGCACTGGAACTGTAACCAATGTTCTGACTTTCTCAGTAAAAAGACAAAGGGCTGAACAGGCTGCTGAGCCTGCACTCCCTTCCCCTGTCTGGAGATGGTTGCAGGTCAGCACCAAAAGATGCTGGCAGGGCGTTGCAGGAAGCTGAAGTTCATTGCCCTGGTGCCGGTTTGTTTTGGGAAGAAGATTTTCAGCCAACAGGGGTCATGCTGTGACTTTTGCAAGCTTCAAAGTAACTTTAAAAACAAAACTCAGACAGAAAAAAAAAAACAAAACACAACCCAGACTTAAAACAAAAATTAAAAAATCAAAATGATCTCTTTAACTGAGTAGCCTCCAGTGTCTGTACTGGAGCTTGTCTCACTCTGATCTGCTGGCCCCCAGGCTCTGCCTTTGAAGGGCAGAGCAGAGCAGAGCCTGGACAGGCTGATGTGGGGATGTGGGACTTGGACCCTGTTTGGAGACACTGACATGTCCCCACGTGGACCCTGGCTCTGCCTCTTGCTGGCCTGGAGAGGCTGGTGGAAGAAGCCAGCTCGCTCCATTGTACAGGCTCAGGAGTAAACAGCCCAAAGGAGGAGGACACTCTGTGCCAAGTCCATGGGGTGACATGCAAACACCTTCATGGCAATTTTGGTTTGCATGGCATCCCTGCTTTGGCCAAAGAAAGGAAACCTGGAGGAGAGCAGGTGTCGGGAGGGAAATGCCTCTCCTCATGCATGTGTAGCTGGCGTGTCTCCTCCAAAGGACAAGCTTTCACCTCTCTCCTCCTCACACCTGCACCCAGGGCTTCAGCTGTTCTGGCAACAGCACTGTGGCTCTTCATGGTCTCCCCTTTAATTTCCTGGGTGAAAAAGCTGATTTCCACCCAAAGGCGGGGCTGACCATGCAGGGATGTTTCTTTCTGATGGGACCAAACCTGGCATTTGGGTTGGGATCTGTGCTTTGGGTGGATCACACCCTGCCTTGGTCATCACTATGCTCACAGGGTCTCTTGTGGCAACACAGCCCCAAAGCAAATGGAAGAGGTGATTTCCCCTCAGAAGGGAAAAAAAAAGCTCAAGAGGGATGTAAGAAAAGCAATTTTCGGTCTCAGCACAGAAGACCTGGTGGGAGGAAAAAAAAGAAAAGAAAAAAAAGAAGGAAAGGTTTGGGGAAAAAAGGTGCCTTTCTGGCATCTTTCTGGTGGAGGAGCCATTCCCGGCGGTACCTCTAGGAGGAAACCTCAACCTGCGCTGTGCCTGCGGGAGCTGGGCTTCCCCTCAGCTCCGCAACTTCGGTAACGCAGCTAAGTTAGTACTTTTGATATTTCTAAGTTTTTTTTTTTCTTTTTTCTTTTTTTTTTTTTTTTTAAACATTTATGTAGAACACCACATAATTGCAGAAAAGATAATAGTCACATACCCTAGGGCTTGGTGTACACTTATGTTAAAAGTACAGCTTTTATTGGCAACTAAAGTAATAACCTTTCCATGTCAAATTGCTTTAAATTAAACTTAAAAAAAAAAATATGCTGGCTGATACCCACACTTAGTAATTGTCAAACATTAGCATAATGTGGAATACTGAAGCTGCCTAAATCTTGGGTTTAAAAATAATTATTTACTTAGGTAAATTCTCTATTCAGAAGCATAATATTAGATTTTTTTTTTTAACACAGTCTCCTCCATGTCTATGTTAAAAGGCAGAATTAAGCTTGACATGGAAGTGGGACAATGTTACTGTGGCCTCTGAAAGGAAAAAGGGGGATTTTATACCTTTAGCTCAGCCATCAATCACTGGTCACCCTGAAAGAAATGTGTTAAGGTGACACTTCTGAAGGCATAGGAGCTGTGGGTAACATCTAGTGACCCAAGACCAGTGACCTGCAATGCCTGCTGATTGCACCCTGTGCCACAGCCCTGAAGTGCCCACATAATGTTCCTTGTGCTGGAGGACATCTGGGAGATGAGTGTCTCAGGTACATGGATATGCAAAGCCAAGGGCAGCAGGTTGGTAGTGTTTCATACAGGTGCATTTTACTTACCTATTTCAGCACACAACTGGAGCAAATGCAGTGGGGAACACTCAAATTTCCAGTGCAAAACAGGAGAGGAAGCTGTGCACTGTGAGGTGGGGCTTCTCTGTGGCATGTGGAGGAAACTGGAGCTACCAGGTGCTGTGAGGACACAAGTCCTTTTGGTTTTCTGCTTTTTGGGGGTCCCAGGCTCTGACGTGCCCTGCTGAGGGTACATCCAACCCTCTGCTAGGGCATCCCTATGGAGTCCACCACAGTACTGTGAGTCCAGTAGTTCTTCCTCAGAAACACACCGATGTTTTGCTGGAAATTCAGCAAAACCCATTTTGGAACATTTTCTTAAAGAAATTAGCACCTTTACCAATCAAGGTATAAAGGGATTACCTTTCCTGTTCCTTTAGCAAGCAGGGAGCTCTGGGAGGCTCTTGGTGCCTTTTTGGCCAGCTGTTGGAGGAGGAGAAGGGAATGGTAGCACCTGGGAACAAGAGGTTTATGATCTCCAAGAGAGAGTTAAATGGTTGTTGGGAGGGGAAATGCAAGGAGCTGGAGACTAAAAATTGGATACCTTTCCCAGCCTTCTCTAATACCATACGTGTTTTACCCCATGATTATAAATCTGATTGTACATTAATTTCCATGTTGTTTTAATTCTTTAAAGCAGGGAAGGAAAATACATGTTCTTCCTTGGAGAACCCCAATGCAGTCTTGCAGCATATCACAGAACGGTTGAGGTTGGAAGGGACCTCTGAAGATCGTCTAGTCCAACCACCCTGCTCAAGCAGGGACTCCTAGAACACATGAACCAGGATTTTGTCCAGATGGTTTTGAATATCTCCAGGGATGGAGATTCCACAACCTCTTTGGGCAACTTGTGATATGCCTTGTCACCATAAGATGATGACGGTGAGTGTTTACTGCTAGATTTTCACCTGCCTGGTGTCTTTCCTCCATTCAGTACCTCTTTCCTCTCTCTCTAGAACTGTCTCTTCCCCACCTCTCCTATCTGACTGCTTTCTCCTGCTCTGCTGACAGTGCTGCTCCTGTTGCCCCATTGCACCGAGGCAAAGGGAAGAGCAGAGAGGGGCCAAGCAGCGTATGTTGACCGGACACAGGGGTTACCCAGAAATACCTCTCGTTACCAAGGCCTGGATTTAGCTGTCATTCACTTGCACCCCAAATGACTCCATTGCAATCCACGAAGCTTCTGGTACCAGGACTTTATCAACAGTTGCAAATGTAGGAAGACTT